CAGCCCTTGTTCTTCATCGCCCTTCTCTGCACCCACTCCAGCAACTCCTTCCTGTACTGGAGGCCCCAGACCTGGACGCAGTACTCCAGATGGGGCCCCACGAAAGGCAGAGAAGAAGGGAACAATCACATCCCTCTCCCTGCTGGCCACAAACACACCAACTGATAGCAACTGTACACTAAAGTAACATTGTACAATAATCACTGCATCTGACAGACTATGAGGTCAATCCTTCTCCCACTGAAGCCAGGAGTGAGAGTCACTTCTGCAGTACCTCCTCCCCCAGCATCAGAGTTTCCAAGCAGCAACCTGTACAGTTAGCATTGCTGGAAACAGCATCAATTCAAGGGAAGGAGTTAGAAGAGAAGCACAGAGTTATCAGAAGTGTCCCCAGTTATCATCAAACTACCCAGACTGTGTCTTAACTCCTCCGTGCAAACCGAAACTGTTCATAGATTTTTTCTTGGTTCTCTGCCTCCCACAGGTAACCTACCTATGGTTATATCAACAGCAGCAATCAATTTGTTAGGCTCAAACGAAAATAAAGCACAGAGAAACATAAAATGTTCCCTCTATGGGACATCAAAATTGCTAATATGAAGTTTTACAAGACTACTTACATACAAGACACTTTCTGTCCATAAATCTTGTAGAACTTTATTAACTTAGAAGTGCTGGGAGGCAGATGCCTTCAGCTCCACTCTTTGGAAGCAGAACATCAGACTTGAGGGGTGACCTGTTCAGTGTCACACAGCAGGTCAGTGTGTTCTACTTCAGCATTCCCAAAGCTACAAAGCCTCTGTCTTTGCTTTGCTTTTAGTTACAATTGTAGGAGGGAGGCCAGCCACACACTGCACAGGTTGAGCTCCGAGTCTTGTGTGCACTGCACTGGAATAATTAAACACATAGCATAGTTAACCAGCTCCTAAGATATCAGCTGGCATCTAAATTTCTTGTCTGAACTGATGAACAAAGGACAAGAATGCACAACACTGGAGAAAAGAAAGGGGAAGCAAAACTCTATTTTAAATGATAAACAACCCATGATAAACAACCAGTCCTCCTTAAAGCAGCCCACTCTGTTTTGCCCATGTGCCTTTTTTGTTGTTTTTATTAAGAGACTGGCAAGACCAAAACATTTCCGAAAATAAGGGGGAAAAAAAAGAAAAGTTCGTTGATTAGCCTTTATTCCAAGAGTCTTATCCAGAGCTCCCAGTGCTGGCTGCTCAGAACAGCAGGAAATCCTAAGGGCGGTGGAAGGTGGAAGCACTGCAAGAGCTGAGCCATCAGGGCCTCCCCATGGGCCATCTCCCAACTCCTCACATCTGTAAGAAGGTAACTTCGGAGCTCTCAGCTCAGACCTCCCAGAAATGTGAAGGCAAAATGGGTGAGACATTTCACTATGAAGGATGAGAAAATGAGCCGGAGAGCTTGTGGATAAAAAGATGGAGAAGAGAAAATCATAGAATCATAAAATTATTAAGGTTGGAAAGAACACCAAGAACATCAAGTCCAACCATCAGCTCATCACCACCATACCACCAAACCACTTCTCTCAATACCACATCTCCACATTTCTTGAACACTGACTCCATCACTACCTTGGACAGTCTGTTCCAATCTTCACCACTCAATCTGCAAAGAAATTTTTCTTAATATCCAACCTGCACCTCTTCTGGCACAAATTAAGGCCACAATCAACACCCTCTCCCTCGACAAGCAAGATAAATATTTTAACAGTCATCTAATGTAGAGCAGAATGAAAAAGAAAGCAAAACCATTACACACAACTGTCATATACAGAATCTTCTTTTTAAGAAAAAAAATGAATTAGTTATCCATAAATAAAAGATGACAGCAGTTTGGCACACTACTGTTCAGATTTCAGATATGCTATGAATGATAAGAAGACACAACAAAACAGAACAGAGTCAAATATAATGGAAAGTAGAGTGCAAAGAGAAGAAGTATTAGTAAAATATAGAAAACGAAACAGGCACAGAAGGAAATGAATGAGGTATAGCAAAGAATGAATGATGGAGAATGGAGAAGCAAACGAGGGTCGTGTCTTGGTGCAGCTGATGACTTGGTGCAGAGCCATTGAGTGCAGAGCCTGCAACAGGTCAGTGACGGTGGATCTCAGCTGAGGATTTGTCCCTCTGCACAGAACCACAGAAGGGTAATCAGACACCAGACTGCCCAGGTGTTCTCCACTCAGAAAATAAAGAGGCAACATAGCAAGGGAATAAGATGGTATCAATAACAAAGGGGAATGCAAATTCCAGAAAAGAAGAAAGAAGCTAACCAGAAAAGTATGGAAGGAGAACAAGAAAGAAGAATATATAGAGAGGGCAATGGCAAGATTAGAAGAAAATATCCACAGGTTAGTGGAATACATTTCATTTATTCATGAGGTCTGTTTTATTATGTGTCCTTGGCAGGGATCCCGTAACTGAAAATTTGCAAAGCAGAGAATGATGCGAGTTTGGAGACTTGAGTCTTGTTTCTAGTCATTAGCCTTGGGCAGGGCTTTTTAATATATGTGCCCCAGTAGCAAGTAAACAAGTTCTTTAAACCAAGAGCCTTTAGGACGCATGCTGCAAACAAATGAGCTTAGGCAGAGCCAGAGAGGGATTCCAGGAGAATAAGCAAACCTAGCCACAACCCACTTGCAAGTAACCAGGAGGATGGACAGGCTGCTAGGAAAGATGCTGCCCAACTCTGCTGCTCGTTCCAACTCCAGCTCAGGTCAGCTTACACGGAGCATCTGTCTTTCACATGCACTCCTTGCTAGCTGGCATTTGCTACACCTGGGAGCATGTGGGGCTCAGTGCGCTCAGCTGGCAGAGGAAGGGCTGCACCCGGCTCCCAGCACACAGCATGCAGTGGCAGCAGCACTGGCGGCTGTCCTAGTGCAGGGCAGCACCGTGCCCAGCACAGGCTGTGCTGGGGGCTTGCCAGATGCTCAGGACAGGGAAAGCCCAGCCGTCTCCCTGTGAGTTTCCCTGCAGCTGAACTCAGACACTGCTGAACTTTGTTTTGCTCCGAGGCTGAACCTGTCCTGTGATCCTAGAGAGAGTGAGCAAATAAATGCTTTACTTAGGAATACTCTGCTTGTATAAAGAACATTTTAAGAAAACATCCAGACTGCATTTCCCTAGGGATCACAGTGAAGTCTGCATCAGTTCCACCTTTATTGATATCTGCTTCTTTGTCCACAAACGCAAATGTGAAGTTGAAAGGTTCCTACTATTTTTGTTGGTTGTCTCAGCACCAGATACAGTGTTCAAGGAGGAAAGTCTCTTCAAAAAGAGCTGTAACATCCTCTGTTGTCAATACATACAGATTTCACTTATTTTAAGATCAATTTCAGCAAATCTTTTCATCCGGTATAGGCAAACAACCAGGCAACTTGGATATTGGAATTGGATGGTCTTTGAGGACCCTTCCAACCCAAGCCATTCTATGATACTATGATATTATTTCTGGAGCCTTCCCAATCTTCAAATCCTGCAATTGAGAAGAAAAAAAAACCACCAGCAACAACAACAAAAAATCACAAAACTAATGATTCTGTACCTCTATAAAAATAAATGCTTTCAAAAGCATGAACCGCCCAAAAGCAAGGTATAGATACTGCCAGTGAAAGCTCTTTTATCATCATTTAGCTGCCAACACACATATAAATCATTTACCCAGTTTCAGAACATAAAATTCTCTTTACCTATCCACAGTGCTGTCTCAGCAGAAGCTCAGATACATAATCCATGATGTTTTTCCCCAGTTTGCCAATTGTCTTCCATTGCCCCAAGTGCAACCTTTCCGAACAGTGAAAACTGGACAAGTATAAGTTAACAAAGAGAAGATCATAAAATCATAAAGGCTGGAAAGACCACTAAGATCATCTAATAGAACCACCATACCACTAAACAACACCACTAAACACAGTGTCTACCCTTTCCTTGAAAACCTCCAGGGACAGTGAAGGTTTTGATGCAGTTCTGTGTTAAAACAAAGTCAATTCTCATCACAAATGATTACTGCTCTCTACATCACTGCGATGGGCAGCTTCTTCTCAGCAGGAGACAGCAAATGCAACTTACAAAGTTACAAAGTCACCACTGCACCAAATACTCAGGCTCTTGTACAAAGTGTATTCCTACCTCGATCTTCTTGGGATGTTAGTCTGAATAACTTATGCCATCTATTGGCCTCAACCAGAGACAGATGCTCCGAGGAGCACTTTAATTCTGCAAAAGCAACTACGTTACAAGGGATCTGAGGGTAGATCTGCAAGTTCTGCTAATGGAATCAATACCTTGCCACTACTCTGATCCTGAGGTTCACCTCTCCTGGCTGAATGTGCTTCAGAGTGCAGCTCCCAGAATAACCAGTTAGGTAAAAAAGAGTATTGGCACAAGGCTAGCTCACACTGCTTGGGAATCCAGAGACGGAGCAGCGAGGATTTGCACTCTTACAGAAGCACTTAGGAAAAGTCCTTATTATGATAAGATCCACTTAGATCTAAAATCAGGGAAACTATCTCCAACTCGGTAACTCTGCCTCACATTGGCCATGCAAAGAGACTTCTCTCCCATTTCTGCACCCATAGCGGCTATTTAGTGATTCACGGCTCCTCAAACCGACTTCATTTTTCTATCTAAATGCATTTTTAAAAGGCAAGGCAGAGCTCTGCAATGCGAAAGAGACTCGGAGACGTTCCCTATCGATCCGCTCCCGCACAACCCATTAGAAGCGGCCGCCCGGCATCACCTCGTCCCCTCCGAGGAGCCGAAGCGGTGCTCACCGCCGGGGCTGCCTCTTTCGTGAGGGAGACGGGGAGCTGCGGGCGTCGCTCGGCTGGAAGCGGGGCTCCCCGACACCGAGCTGCAGCCTCCCTCTTCCTCCTCTTCCTCCTCCTCCTCCTCCTTCTCCACGCCGGCCGTTCGTCCCGCAAAGCGCACAGAGAAGCCATCCGAACCGTTCGGGGCTCTGCCTACCTGGGGCCGCGGGGCTCCGCCGCGCTCCGCCCGCCTCCGCCGCGCTCCGCGGGAGCTGCCGGGGGGGGCGGGAAGGCGGCGGGCGGGCTCCGGCGAGTCCCCACCCCGGCCTCGGGCATCCCCGGCACCTTCCCGGCGGGGCGGGCGGAGCCGCGCTGCCGCCGTCCGTGCGGGTCCCGCACCGCGTCCCGGTGGGTCCCGTCCCCAAAAAGCGCGTTCCGCCTCTCCTAGTCGCAGCCCACCTACCGGCAGTCCCCGCGCTCTCACGCTCCGCGGGTCGGGGGTGCTGCCGGGCGAGAGGCGCAGGTTGCGCGCTCCGCCGTGGGTCGCTGCGAAGTGAGCGCTCGGCTCTCACCTCCCCGCTTTTGTGCGGGGGCAACGCGCGCTGGGTGACACCGCGAACGGGATTGATCCGCTATCGATTCGCCGCCGCTCATTTGCTGGAGTGGCGAATAGACGGCTGTGCTGTGAGGTGTGATGGGTCCCCGCGTGCTGCGGGGGGAAGTGGTTCCTCTCGGTGCTGTGCCACCAAAGTTGTTTTATTTCTACCTCACCCGAAGCCCAGCGGCAGCGAGAAGTGAGGGCAGCTCCCTGTGTAACAGCGGAGCACAGCACCGGACCTCGAAGAGTGGGGTAAACTGCGGCATGAAGGAATTGGACCCAGCGATCCTTATGGCCCCCTTCCAACCCGGGGTGTTCTGTGGTTCTCTGGTTCCATCTCCTGTCAATTCCAGTGTTGGTTTGACAAATGCTGTGGAGGTTTATGCCTCACAAATGTTGATGGAAATGGAAAAAAAAGGAGATGGGAAGAAAAAAGAAAAAAAGACGATTTTCTGTACTTTTCATAAACTTTTCCGAACTTTTCCTTAAGGAAGCCCCCTAAGTCTGTGTTATCATAACTCATTTGGAAAACAACAAAAAAAGTAACTATTTCCTCCATTTTTTTTCCTAATTAATAAGGAAAAAAAAAAACAAAACCATAAAAACATAAAAAATGTTGCAGTGAATCTTTTTTCTTTCTTTCTCCCTCCCTTTCTCCCTCCCTCCTTCCTTCCCTTCCCTTCCCTTCCCTTCCCTTCCCTTCCCTTCCCTTCCCT